ATGCATATAAAGCACTTACAAAGATAAAGGTCTGGACTGGGCTCAGTACCACCTGGAGCAGTTTCTTCTAGCTTTCAATACCTGAAGAGGCTCCATTGGACATACTCTGGTAAGCTGCAAGCTAGAGAGTGGTCTTCACCAAAATACAGGCAAAATGTCTGGGAGGAAACTCCTAAGCAAAGCATGTTAAAATGCCATTCACTCAGAAAAGACAGTCCAGACAGAAGCTGGGAAATGAGGAGCCCAACGGACCCAAGTTGGCCATATCCTTTGAAGATAGAATCTAACTACAACCAAAGCAAAGATAGGCTCAGATAAGGCCAGTGAGTTCTGAGAACAAACTCTATTTTATGATAGCAGAAATCTATACTTGTAATTCAGATTGTTTTTATCTCTTCTTCCTTTTTTTTTGGCCGCGGCTTGTGGGAGTTCCCCACCAGGGACTGATCACAGGCCACGGCAGTGAAAGTACCAAGTCTCAACCACCAGACCACCAGGGAAATCCCATTTTTATATTTCTCCAATTTCCTTATGTTTTCTCCCTTGGTATGAAGTAAAGTTGCAGGCTATTTTAACTGTGCTCAGATGAACTAAGAATAAGGGTTTTCAGCCACTCTTGGTCCTGAATATTAGAATATTATCAATCCACGATGGACAGCAGCCTTAGGGTGAAAATGGTATTGCAGCCCAAACAAAAGAATCCTCCAAAGTAAGTAAAATTTAAGGAACAAGAAGGGCTGTAGAACCCAGCTACTATTCCTCATGTAAAAATTCTCTTTTCAAGGAAACTATAAGCAAGGTGAAAAGACAGCCCTCAGATTGGGAGAAAATAATAGCAAATGAAGCAACAGACAAAGGATTAATCTCAAAAATGTACAAGCAACTCCTCCAGCTCAACTCCAGAAAAATAAATGACCCAATCAAAAAATGGGCCAAAGAACTAAACAGACATTTCTCCAAGGAAGGCATACAGATGGCAAAAAAACACATGAAAAGATGCTCAACATCACTCATTATCAGAGAAATGCAAATCAAAACCACAATGAGGTACCATTACACGCCAGTCAGGATGGCTGCTATCCAAAAGTCTACAAGCAATAAATGCTGGAGAGGGTGTGGAGAAAAGGGAACCCTTTTACCCTGTTGGTGGGAATGCAAATTAGTACAGCCACTATGGAAAACAGTGTGGAGATTTCTTAAAAGACTGGAAATAGAACTGTCATATGACCCAGCAATCCCACTTCTGGGCATACACACCCAGGAAACCAGATCTGAAAGAGACACGTGCACCCCAATGTTCATCACAGCACTGTTTATAATAGCCAGGACATGGAAGCAACCTAGATGCCCATCAGCAGACGAATGGATGAGGAAGCTGTGGTACATATACACCATGGAATATTACTCAGCCATTAAAAAGAATTCATTTGAATCAGTTCTAATGAGATGGATGAAACTGGAGCCCATTATACAGAGCGAAGTAAGCCAGAAAGATAAAGACCATTACAGTATACTAACACATATATATGGAATTTAGAAAGATGGTAACGATAACCCTATATGCAAAACAGAAAAAGAGACTCAGATGTATAGAACAGACTTGTGGACTCTGGGAAGGCAAGGGTGGGATGTTTCAAGAGAACAGCATCGAAACATGTATATTATCTAGGGTGAAACAGATCACCAGCCCAGGTTGGGTGCATGAGACAAGTGCTCGGGCCTGGTGCACTGGGAAGACCCAGAGGGATCGGGTGGAGAGGGAGGTGGGAGGGGCGACCGGGATGGGGAATACATGTAAATCCATGGCTAATTCATTTCAATGTATGACAAAAACCACTGCAATGATGTAAAGTAATTAGCCTCCAACTAATAAAAATAAATGGAAAAAAAAAATTCTCTTTTCAGAACTAAATCTTGGATGCTGTGGTTTTATTTTCTTCTAAAATTCCATACACATACCCACGCCCCACTAAACTGTGAGTACCTTGAAAGGACCTTGTCATTTTCACCAATGAAGTGTGCACATGTGCATGGAACACAATAAAGGCATTTAAATGTTTGTTGACGTGATGAATGAACAATGCAAGGTCTTTCAAAATTTTAAGGCACCTTTTTTTCATTTATTAAAAAAACTTTGGGCTGGTCTGTGTGGCATGCGGGATCTTCCCCAGGCAGAGATCAAACCTGTACCCTCTACAGTGGAAGCTCAGAGTCTTAACCACTGGATCACCAGGGAAGTGCCTTAAGGCATCTTTCAAGGCCATCCAGTCCAATCCTTTTCCAAACATTTGTCCACACAGAACTTTCACTGGTTTTCATAAAATTCGTTCAAACAAATATCAATGAAATGTCTACAATAATTAAGATGTGCTTTCAGGAACAACAAAAAGATCAGGCATCAATATATGTTCACTGAGGGCCTACTATATGCTGGCCACCATACTAGACCCTAAGATATTACAATGAGTAAGACATACATAGCACCTTAGGGAATTCATGGAGAAGATAAATGGACAACAAGCACCAATAACATTGTTTAAAAAGATAGAAAATGTTGCTTTCAAAGATATTATAAAGGCTATTAGGAATCAGAGGTCAAAAAGGAAAACCAAGGTTTCAAAAGGACTTATGAGACACTGTCATTCAAGACTAGGACATTATTTTGTGGTTTAACCTTACAGTTCAGGAACGAAAACTCCTAGAGTCTAGCTGAAGTGGTGAATGGAAATGGCTTGGTAGGTTTTGATGAAAATTCAATATTCTATCTTCATATCTTTATTATTACATCAAGTGACAGTGACACTAGCTTTTGAAAAGAAAGAATACAGATCAATTCTCCTTTAATGGAAGCCATAATTGAAACTGAGCTCTAACAAAGTTCTTATCACATGTGACTATATGACCTACAGAAACACAGACTTGCTGACCTGAGGAATAAGAAAATACATCAAGAAAAATCCTAGACTTACTTATTTTAACACTAACTGCATTATAAAATATTTTCTATTACTTACATTGTAAACTGAAAGAGTAGTTAATACATAGCTAAACATTGTAGTCATTTTGTCCCACAATCAAATGAAACGTATCTTCATTTTCTTTCATATATGCTACTTCAGAGTCTCTAAATACTCTAAAATGTGCCCCCAACTAAAGTCGTTTCCTTTAGTATAAACAGTGAGATGGAAATCAGAAACCAGGAGCCAAGCTTGGTTTCACCACCAGGTATATGAATTTGGGCAGGTAAATTCTCTGGCTTAAATTTTCTCAACCGTAAAATGAAGGTATTATAGCAAATAAACTCTAAGATCCCTTTGAACACTTAAAAAAAAGAAAACTAGGAAAACTAACTTCTACTTCCAAAGCAGAAAGTTCCAAAACTAATAATAAAGCCACTCAGGTTTTAACTACCTTTCTCCCTCTCCTACTTGATTCAACAAACTTACTTATGAATTTCCTACAGCAGTTAGAATGAGCAGTTTCATCTCTAGTAGTTAAAGACAGGGAAAGGGATGTCTGTCAATATATTCTTTTTTAAAAAAACACAATTCTGCGAAAAAGAATTTCTAGGTCCAGAAGCAACCTCTTCAGTAGAATTTTGCCTCTGTGGAAAAATTAAACATTCATAAGCTTTCTCTGTGAATTTCAAGTGGGTTCTACATCCATATATTCCATTACAGCCCATGAATTTCTTCTGTTCTTAGCAGACTGCTTGCCATTGGTGTATGTTTACAATATTTTCCCTTGGATCTGTATAGGAAGTGAATCAGGCACCATTTGGCCATCTTATGGAGTACGACATAGACAAAAATATGACATTAATATGTAGTCATCCTAATTATACTTAAGAACCTATGATATGAATGGACCTGTCAGGCACATTTTTTGAGACCACACTGCATGCAAAGCACTGAAATAACTACAAAGACGGTATGAACACATTGTTGCTTCACCTTTCTTTGCCTGAAATTTTACAAGTCACCAAGAAAAAATACTTTTTACCTCAGCACAATGTTAACTTACATTAAGAAAACCTATCTACCATTTAAAGGCTAAAGCTCCTTGTCATATACCTCTAAATATGACATTTTGTAGAATACGAATTGATACTATAAAAGCAACAATTCCAGATCAAAACGATTAGTACTATATTCAAGCTTCATTTCTCTGGAAATAAGCTTCATCTGCATAATCTTTGCATATTAAAGGACATTAAGCTAAAACAAACAAACAAAAAAACGCACTGTCTGAAAACCAAGGGAGAATACTACCGGCAGAACAACTGGCTCTACTTCTGCAAATTAAGCAAAATTAGGCAAAAAAAGGAAAGGAAGCAAGCAAAGGGAAGGAACTCCAGAGCTATTTGCAGCTATTTGTGGTCCCTCCAAAGTTCTAGGAGCTTCCCCTTAAGCTTAAGGAGGGCAAAGGAGAGAACTCAGCTCCCCTTCTGGGCAGAAGCCCAGATACTCTTCACAACTTGAAATATTTATTGAATTCAGTGGAAGACGTCTGGGAGATCTGGATTCGGTGAGAAGGTCTGAGCGAAGGGAGTGGCATTTGCTTTCCTCAGTCTGGAGCCTTCAGAACTGTACCAGAGTTCTCAAAACCCCTTAGTTATCTTACAGAAGAGCTCTGAGCATCCTCCCCACGCACACACCTGCAGGGCCGAGCAGCGCCTCCCTCTCCCTCCACTGTCCTCAGGGCTGGACCAAGGTCCAGTGGCCGGCGCACCGTTAGTCCAAGAGCCACCCTGGCCCCGGCGGACGCCACCCGGGCAAGCCCCAACAGAACGCCGCTGTCCCGGCTCCGCGTCCGGGAGCCACGCAGCGGCGGCGACTGCGCGGCTGGACACCGGCACCAGCAGGATGCGCATTAGAATAAAAACTTCGGCGAGAGCTCTCGCCCTCGCGCCGACTTGGAGGCACGGCCCCAGAAGCGGGCTTCGGAGACAGCCGGCCCGTCCCGCCCCTGCTCGCGGCCGAGGGGGCAGCGGTTCTCACCTGTCCTCCGAGACGCTGATTACACCCTCCTCCTTGGGCACGATCACGGCCATGTTCACCACCTCCTGAGAGCCCTCGACCCGCTGCAGCAGGATCGGCTTGCGGGTCAGCGGCTTGGGCTGGATCTCTGCCGCCATCGGAGGAGGGGGCGCGCCGGGGGCGCCGCCGCCAACTGCGCCGCGGGGTTGGGCTGAGACGACCGTTCGAGCGCGGGCACCAGCTGAGACAGAGACTCTCTTTGGCCGGAGCGGGCCGCCAGGGACCCGCGATCATAGCCTGGCCGCCTCCCCCGGGAACGACTCCGCGCTCCCGGCTTCGGGCAACGAAACCGCCACGACCGGCGCTGCAACCCGGCGCCACCACCGGAGGGAGGGGGCGGAGAGTCGGGGGGCGGGGCCAACAGGGGCGGGGCCTGCCGCAGGGGGTGGCCGCTGGTGGGCGCGAGGGCGGCTGCACTTCCGGGAGGGTGGTGGTGGAGGAGGAGGAGGAGGAGGAGGAGGGGAAACTGACAAAGTGGGCGGGGCGCTGGCGGCCGAATGCGCGTGCGCCGCCAGTTCTCTAGGGCCGTTTCCGCCCCGCTCCTCCGCCATTCCCGTAGCCTCGCCGCACCGCCTCTAGAGCGCATGCGTCTTCCGTCACCCTTGGTCCCCTGGTCACCTTCCACACCCAGTGTTTAGTGCCCTCCCTCTTTCATCTCCCGTGAACGCGCGCGTACACACTCCTGAGAACGCGCTTGCGGTGTCCCGCCCACCGCAAAATCCCTGAAAAGGAGGCGTTGGTGGGGCGGGGAAAAACTAGCCTGGGCGAGGCCGGAAAGAAAAGAATCCCGCAGGAAGGAAAGAAGCTGAACGAGTTGGCGCGAGATTGGGCATGCGCACGAGTTATCTATCCGTCTCCGGGACTGGGGGTGCCTGACCACCGAGCCTGATTAGCTGCTCCCGACACGCATCTGCCCCGGGCCGCCGAGTGGTACCCCGTGGACTCCTGGGAGTAGTAGTTCTTCAGAGCTTCTTTTCCCTTGTCCTGAGATGACCCATCGCCTACTAATCGTTCCTGGCCTGAGGAACTGGTGGCTTCCGAGTCGCCGCCTGCACCGTTCTCTAAGAGAACTAAAGGGCAGCCCTCGGCGGAGCGGATTGTCGCCGCATTCCTGCCACTGCCCGTAATAGTGGAGCGCCCGGAGTGGGGAAAGAAAAGATCTCATGCAGGCATCTTCGAGGGAGCTTAGAGATGACCTGTGTTGTTAACCTTCTCGTTTTCTTAGATGGCCAAGTTACTAGCCCCCAGTTAAACTGTAGTTTCAAGTTAGGGCTGTAGCATTCCCAGACTTGAACTCAGGCACTCGTCCTCCTAGGTCCTTCTTCCCATTCCCCAGTAATCCTTCCTTTCTAGCTTGCCCTGGAGACCATGGGTAGAGTTATTGTGATGACTGAATGAATGTCAGTTGCTTGGCATAGGGCCTGGCTCTGTGGGGTCATTGGTTATGTGATAATCCCATTAGCCCTCCCACAGTTACCAATCTGGCTGAGGAATGGTCTTGGTCTATGTGGTGTGCATGGGCTGGCAAGGACTCTGGACGGGAGAAAAACAATATGCTGGACAAAGAATGGGATGGGCCTTGTAGAAATGCCTGTCTTATAGGGCAAGTTTTGGCACAGCCAAGATGATAGGTCGTCTGTCTCTTTACCACCTCCCATCTTCATAGAAATTCTGTAAGGCGCTTGAAAGGGAGGCTGAGGTATTTTCCAGCTTTGCAACCTAGAACAAGGCATTCCACTTCTCTGAGCCTCTAGTTGACCATCTACTAAATGTAGGATAATAAAACCTGCCTTGGATGGTTGTTTTTAGACTTACAAATGACAGATTATTTTAATATTTATTTTTATTTATTTGGCTGCATAGGGTTTTAGTTGTGGCACGAGGTACGTTTTTAGTTGCGACCTGTGGGATCTAGTTCCCCGAACAGGGGTCAGAGCCAGACCCCCTGCATTGGAGTTCAGAGTCTTCCTCACTGGACTACCAGAGAAGTCCCACAGATGACAGATTTTTAAGTGCGTTCATACACAATAGGCTCTTTAAGTTTCCAGGAATTAGGACATGGACATATTTAAGGGACATTATTCAGCCTGCCGCAATGGTTTTAAATACCATCCATATGCTCCTGACTCCAGTAATAATCTCTACCCCGACCACATTTCTGAACTCACATATCTAATGCTACTCTACGTCGTCACTTAACTGTTTAATATGTGTTCCAAACATTCCCAACAGTAGCTTTAAATCTACTGCATCTTTCATGCAAGTTGTTCAAAACTAAGCTCCTAGGAGTCATCCTTAATCCTTTTCTTTTTCTCACAGTTCTGCCCAGACCATTAACAACTATCAGCTCCACATCCAAAATGTATCTTGAATCTTCCCATTTATATCCTCTCCACCCTAGGTCACCATAACCTCTGGCCTTTACTGCCACATGTAGTCTAACTTCTTTCTCTGTCTCTTCTTTTGAACCCATACAATCCATTTTGATCACAGTAGCCAGAAGGATTTTGTTTTAAAATATAAACCAGGTCAGTTCCTCCTCTTCTTCAAACTCATCAATGCCTTACCATTGCACTTACGATGAAATGACTGCAAGCTCACCTCTTCTGCTCAGTATTTTCCAAGCCCTGGTTTGGAAGTCCCCAGAAACACCAACCTCCTTCTTCCTGGTGGCCTTTGCACCAATGGTGTTCACCTTTCAGCTACCTTCTTCTCAGCACTGAGGCTTCAGCTCCAATGTTAGCTCCTTAAACAGTCTTACACTCCCAAATGAACCCTACCTCTTCAGAGCACTCACGGGCATATCACCTGGGTTTATTTTCTTCACAGTACTTACTTCTGCCCAAAATAATCATGCGTTTCTTATTGGTTTTTCAGTCTTCCTCTTCTAGAAGAGAAACACTAGGAAAGAAAAGAACTGTCTGCTTGCTCATCATTGTCCTTTTAGAATAGTACCTGGCACATCAGGAGGCATGTTGTTAAGTAGTCATTAAATATTGTAAGATTCTCATTATATGAAATGCCCAGAATAGGCAAGTCTACAGACCCAGAAATTTGATTAGTAATTGCTAGTAGCGTGGGGGGACACGGGGGAAAAGAAGGAAGGGGGACTAATTTTGATGGCTAAGGAATGTTCAAGATTTCTTTTTCAGATAATAAAAATGTTTTAAAATTAATTATCATAGTGATTGCACAAATTTGTGGATATTCTAAAAGTCACTGAATTGTACACTTTAAAATGGTAAATTTTATGCTATATGAATTATAGTTGTCTATTATCCAATATTACTTTTGATGAATTGCTGACAGATTCTATGATGCTTTCATGGGTTTTATTGAAAGCAAAATATTGGAAACCACCTGACATGTGAAAAGAATTTTTTCACATTTATTAAAATATACCAAAACATATTATATAACTGCTATTTTTATCTGTTATTTTGTCACTTAAAGGCATTTTGTTTAACCATATATACTAAAAAAGAATTGGGAACTTTTCAATGTTTTAAATTGAGTATAGATTTACTAATACAATTTTTTTATAAAGTATTTTTATCTCATCCCATGCTTACATATAGTTTTCTCCAACTCTGAGAACAGCAGATTTTTATAGAAAAAGATCATCATGTAGCCTAGTTATCCAAATCCTATTGTCAAATGAATCAGGGAAATTATGCTTACTTTCTGTCAGAAAAAAAATTTTACTTCATTTTTCCATTCAAATAAATAATTATCAATAAGCATTTTGAGGAAAATTATAAAAATAAAATGAAATATATCTTGTAAGACAGATTATTAGCTGTAGTTGAGTTCAATATCATATGAGATATCACCTCACACCTGTCAGAATGGTTATTATAAAAAATACAACAGATAACAAGTGTTGGCAAGGATGCATAATCCTTGTGCACTTATGGTGGAAATGTAAATTGGTGTAGCCACTGTGAAAAACAGTATGAAGATTCTTCAAAAGCGAAAATAAAACTACTGCATGATCCAGGAATTTCACCTCAGTATTTTTCTGAAGAAAATGAAAACATTAATTCAAAAAGACATATGCATTGCTGTGGTCTACTTTATAGAATCCAAAACATCTTAAGATAAGTCAAAATATCCTTGTTTCTTCTCTCTTATCAGAAATACTTATAAGGAAGACCAGAAAGACCTGTGGGTTAAGTTGCCTTATTGACCATTAAAGTTTTCTCCAGGAAGTCAGAGGGTGGATGAAATGGGTGAAGGGAGTCAAAAATGTACAAACTTTCAGTTATAAAATGAACAAGTCCTAGTGTACATGTGGTGTACAGCATGATAGCTATAGTTAATAATACTGAATTCCATATTTGAAAGTTGCCCCAAAAAAAGAAAGTTGCCAAGAGAGTCGATCTTAAAAGTTCTCATCCCAGGGGAAAAACTGAGTTGTAACTATGTGTGGTGGTGGATGATAACTAGACTTCTCCAAAGTTTTTCCCCAAATCAATATTTTGTAGGATCTTTCTGTTGCCATTTTCAACTCCATGCAAAGCAAGTAGCTCAGTGTTAAAGAATCCACCTACCAATGCAAGAGACGCAGGGTCAATCCCTGGGTCAGGAAGATCCCATGGAGAAGGAAGTAGCAATCCACTCCACTGTTCTTGCCTGGGAAATCCCAAGGACAGAGAAGCCGGGTGGGCTACAGTCCATGGGCTCACAAAGAGTTGGACATGACTTAGTGATTAAACAACAGCAACAACAAAGTTTATGAAATGAGAGAACGTCTGATATAAATGCAGGCACGTTCTCAGGAAAATTGGTTTTAGACAAAAGCACCTAAAAATGTTGAAGATGTCTGTGTACCACTTGATAAGTTTTCACAGAGTTCCACAGGTGACAGTTTGGATATCACTAATCTAGGAAACAGAAAGGGGGCTGCCACTCCAGCAGGGCATGGAGCTGTTCAGTTCAGTTCAGTCGCTCAGTCCCGTCCGACCCTGCAACCCCAGGGACTGCAGCACACCAGGCTTCCCTGTCCTTCACCAACTCCCGGAACTTGCTCAAACTCATGTCCATTGAGTCGGCGATGCCATCCAACCATCTCATCCTCTGTCGTCCCCTTCTCCTC